TCAAAGAAATCCCAAACGTAAGCAGAAACTGTTGGCCCTTCAGATGGGGTTAAGCAGAACCACGGTGAAAAGGGTGTTAAATGAAGACTTAGGGCTTCGGGCATATCGAAGAAAAACAGGACATCGTTTGAATGCTCGTCTAATGGACCTGAGACTGAAGAGATGCCGCGCTTTGTTGAAGCGGTACGCGGGAAAAAATCTCGAGAAATTCTTTTTTCGGATGAAAAAATTTTTACCATAGAAGAGAGCTACAACAAACAAAATGATAAGGTGTACGCACACAGTAGTGAAGAAGCGAGCAACCGTATTCCGCGTGTCCAACGAGGTCATTTTCGATCCTCGCTCATGGTATGGTTGGGAGTTTCTTATTGGGGCTTAACAGAGGTACATTTTTGTGAGAAAGGTGTAAAAACGAATGCAGTTGTGTATCAAAATACAGTCCTAACGAACCTTGTGGAACCTGTTTCTCATACCATGTTCAATAACAGGCACTGGGTATTCCAACAAGATTCGGCGTCAGCTCATAGAGCGAAGAGCACACATGATGGCTGGCGGCGCGTGAAATCGACTTCATCCGGCACGAAGACTGGCCCTCCTCCAGTCCAGATTTGAATCCGTTAGATTACAAGATATGGCAACACTTGGAGGAAAAGGTGTGCTCAAAGCCTCATCCCAATTTGGAGTCACTCAAGACATCCTTGATTAAGGCAGCCGCCGATATTGACATGGACCTCGTTCGTGCTGCGATAGACGACTGGCCGCGCAGATTGAAGGACTGTATTCAAAATCACGGAGGTCATTTTGAATAAACTTTAGTGTCATAAAAATCTATGTTTTGTTAAGTTCATTTTGGTATATGAATGGTTACATAATGAATAAACTTGTTTCAATTATTTTACATTAAACATGTGACAGAATTTATGACCTGACTAGGTATATAATCTGAATCTTTATATATAATCTGAATCTGATTTCGGGGGCGATAAATCGATCTAGCTACGATTTATTTTCAGAAAATGTTGTTTTATTCGTGTTTTCAATAATCAACTTTTCCTGACATCTATTGGCCACTAATAATACTATTTTTCTTAATTGAGGGCAACTAAGCGCTTTAAAGACACAATAAGATGGCGTTATCAAAAAAAACTGAGCAAAGCTCGGCAATCATCTAGTAGAACATTAAACGTGTACCAGGACAACACGACGCGTGGATGTGTGACAACAACAAGTCAACAAGCCATTGCGTACAATGTTGAGTCAGGCGCTCTGCTCACCCTTCTTTTAAACAAATCCATCGTGAATGTGCCGACACAGCTGGAGGCCACCAAGACGAGAGCTAAAATCACTGAGCAGAGATCTGGTGAAATATTCGGAGCCATCTTCGTGAATAGTTGTGCGGCGTACACTTGAACGCTGACCATCCCCATATAGACCGTCAGGACCATGATCGACACCATGCTGATGAGGGCTCGTCGTGATGACGTTGATGCAACTGTAAACAATTTACAAATATATGTGTTGAATCGGGTACTTTTAAACCTAAAAAACGCAGAGAACAAATATAATGTAGTTATTATTCGAACCCACACGGTTATTGATGGACTACAAATGGCGTTCTTGATATTTTGATCTGTTGATTAAGCCCATCACGTACATGTCGTAAAGAAATATGCGTTCAATGTGGAATTTAAGGTTTAACAAACATCACGCAAAAGGTAGCAAGCAAGACGGGTCAAAGTTTTTAGTTTCAATTGACAAGGTACGGAATTTTATTTTCTCAGGTTTCTAACAATTGCAGCTTAAGTCTACATCGAGAACAAGGCTCACACCGATTTATCATCCTAGCTCGTTAACAATGGCGTCTTCATTTTGACGAAGAACTACACAGAAAGTAAGTTTAAATAAGTGCAGGACACTTACAAAGCAATTTCCACCCACTTGTTTCTTCTTGCGGCAAACTTGTTTTTTCTTCTGTTAACTTCTCGGTTTCGTATTGAGGTACATTTTCTTCAACTGAATAAAAAAGAAGGCAAAGAATTAATCACCCCCCACCCTAACGGCCACCACGCCGCTGACGACGAAGCTCGTCGTTTGCGACATTCTATGCTCCGCTGACGTTCGTTTGTACCAGGCTCACATAAATCTACAAAGGTAGCTTGAATCACTCTGTCAGTACCATTATAAGACGGAAGCGTTTTTGTTAGCTGTCTCTATTAAGATGGTGTTTATGTTGTGAAAAAAAGAGATGGTTGCTGTCAGATTAGATATACCAAAATGTATACATAGAAAAACAGAGTGCCGGTAGCGAAACAAATATCATTTATTTGTTTAAATAAAAGTGAATATGACTTTTTTATCTTTCGAGTTTCGTATCATATTATCATCTTAAGACTTACTGGGATGATTTTGTTTGTTCTGGTTGTGTTGACTGCGCATGTACGAGAGCTCGCCCAAGACGTGTTCCGTAACGACTGACGTGCCGCGATAAAACGCTAAGCAATGTAACGCTTCCTACAAGCAAAGCGACATTTAATTAATTGAACGAATAGTCTCGCGGGCCCGGGCCACGAGCCTCTGAGACCATTACTTAAAACGTGTGTATAATTAAACATGGTTTTATAGGAAAACAATTGTTTTTATATTTATTCTCATTACCTACTTTAGTGAGAACTTAGAGAGAAAAACCTTTAACATTTAAAAACTTTAAAACTCTTTAGTTTGAAAACAAGATTTTTCTCAGACAAAATCTATCATTCAGTGAAAAGAGAGCTCAGTTTTGAATAGTATACCGTTTAAAATATTAATTTCAAAAGAGATTAAGGGCTTTAAAGGTTGTTGTCATATTATATCACAGAAAACGCAATTAAGTATTGTTTAATCATTCTGATGCATTCCATAATTATGATTATATAATGACAATGAAGAAATAAATAGACGTCGTGTCGACTGCCTTATACAATCTAAGTACTTAAGTAGTTCGGGACATAGCCAAGTCGGCATAATCTAGTGGGCCTTCAGCACGCTACTTATCTAAACGATGAAAAAAACATGTTGTCCAGAAGAACAACGGGCTAACACAATGGTATGTGAATGCCAATAATCCAGAACCATAGAGTAGGGATTATGACCCAGACACAAAAGAAACAAGTTAATGTAATGTCCGATGTGGCCACGATAACACGCGCCAGCGGCGCTATTTCTAAGTCTAGAGTTTTAACTGACAGATCATCCTCACCTTTTCCCGTCCTTTGCCGACCAAAAACACCGGAGACTCCTTAACCAGGGCGAACATGAATATAATGTAGATCACGGACAATGTGATGCAGAAATAGCACACGGTCTCATAGGAACAGACCCAGCCCAGCGAGTAAGATGCCAGGGCTCCAATGCTAAACAAGAAGGTAATGATGACGGTGGCGGTGGCGCGCGTCGAGGTCTGGCACAGCTCGCCGATGTACATGATGACCACAATGATGTTGCAACCGAACGCCAGTCCGCAGATCAGTCGAGCTATGAGGATTTGGCTTGCTGACTTCGCCGTGAGCACTAGTATCCAGGAAAACTTGAACAAGACAAACAATACGATAAAGCAACTCTCTACTAAGCGCCTCAAGTCTAGCTGCTACCGCTAGGTTGGGACGGGGCTCATTCCGGTGTGACGGGTGAGTAAGCCCATATATATTATATGTTATGACGATTAAGATTCGTGTCTGAGTGTAGGTGACGATATCCACATTTGGATTTTATGTACTCCATGCCACCACCCTCTTAACTTTTTTTTCTGCCAATAACAACCTTAGAGGATCGGTTGTGCACGTGAGGAACACAGGAAACAACCGAAGCGGCTATTGCTCCCGCTATTAAGTCACACGGGTTAACAGAGGGTCCCGGCTGGCTTGAGATGCCATGATCTGGTGAATGTTATCTGGTGGTCGAAGTGGCCCGTCGGCTGTGACGGACCACTTCGGGCTCCACTTGTAGTGTTGAAGACAGCAGACAGCGCCAGGGCACCGCACGCGTCCGCGCCGCGCGGTCTACGGGCTCGGGTGCGTCCGGTGCCCATGTCAAGGTTCTAGTGTTAATTATTTTTTTCTATTGCTTAGGTGGATGGACGAGCTCACAGCTTACCTGGTCTTAGGTGGTTACTGGAGCCCATAGACATCTACAATGTAAATGCGCCACCCACCTTAAGATATAAGTTCTAAGGTCTTAGTATAGTTACAACGGCTACTCCACCCTTCAAACCGAAACGCACTACTGCTTCACGGCAGAAATAGGCGGGGTGGTGGTACCTGCCCGTACGGACTCACAAGAGGTCCTACCACCAGTGATAATCAATCACTTCAAAAGCACTAACAAGAATGATGAAGCCACACGCCACTGAAATCTTCTTTCTTCCGAATACATCGGCGAGCGTTCCGGCGAACATGGTCACTATCATCGGACTCAGCATGGTGCAAGAGCTGATGAGACCGGCCTCTCTCTCCGATATCTTGTACCCCAAAGGCGAGCGGTCACTCTGGAGCGCGGGTATGGCATATGATGGCCAGACGAAGGTGAAGGCTGCTTGGAAGCAGGGTATTGTCACTGAAACAAAAAAGTTAGGCGTTAGGTTAGTGAGAGCAGCGCGACTCGTGGCTGCCGTGGCTGGATACGGTAGCGTCACGAAGCCCCACAGAACTCATAAACAAACTCACAAACGACCGTGCACGCATATTGAATGAGTTTTCCCTTCATCATGGCGCACATGTACGCAGCTGTCTCTGCAATCGGTCCTCAGCGCCACACGCGGCCACTTGCACTAAGATTGTCTGGGACTCGACGACCATTTTTATATTTAACATTTAATTAAAACAAATGTAATATCCGTCAACATTAGTATCGTCTATATCTTATCTGAATTACGCTATATGTTTAGTTAGTATATTTTTATTAATTCTAACCCGAGACGTTATCTTACATTTGATTGACTGGGTGATGCAGTTGCTGGGCCGAGGATCGTGGGTTCGAGTCCCACATCGGACAAACACTTTTAAGACGGTTTGTTTGCTCTTTGTCTGGGTATTTAATATTTATGTGTGATTCTATTTAATCGTATATATCTATAATACATATATAGTGTGTCAGTATCTGGTTCCCACTGTACAGGTAGTCTTAGTTTAGGGCCGGCCGACCGCGCGTATCTCATCCGTGATTAATTTTGATTACTGTTCTAATACACATACAGCAACCATGGCTTCGCCTGCAACTGAATACAATTTTATATTAAAACATAAAATCTATAACACAAGGTAACTGCGCAGCATAATTTTAAGTGAACATACATCCATTCTCTTTTATTTAACATAGATTTCATATAAATTCGACTTAAGATTCATAAGATAAAAATCTCTTCCATCAGCGCCACCTATACGGCACTAACGTAACTATGTTCATCGGAGTGGTCAGGTCGTCCTTTATATGTGTGGGAAAATTCTTATATCAATTGGGCTAACGGCTCTCGAGTTTTCAGTGAACATACATACACATATACATTCTCTTTTAAATATATAGATTTGAATGAGTTAAGTTGTCCTGCAGAGGAGCGCTTAAATAATATACATAAATTAGTTATAGATAAGCAACTCAAGCACTCAACAAAAATGTTTACGGGCGTCGGCCACTAGATGGCTTCGCTTCGATTAGTTTCACATTGCTCCTATAGATGGCAGTAACAAATTATTATTTTATTTTTAATGAAAGATTTGGTAAATTTTCACAGAAACCACGAATTGTTAAAATTTAATTAATTTGTCTATAAAAAATAAAGACTTGTATGATTTATTAGTTTTTTTATTTTCTGTGTTTAGTTACACAATAATGAAACACCTTAAATTTAACAACATGTAAGTTTAGAGGCATCCACTACAAGATGTCGCTAGCTTTCATACAAAAAAATATTTATCTTAAAGTATCGCAGTTTTGGGGGCCCTGGAGGAATAAAGCGCAGGCGCGTACGCACGGGACAATACAATGTTCTTCATCTAATTATTTTTTGCCTACCAATAGTTAGGCAAAAATGACCCCTCGAAGGCACTAGCAATAGCTTACTAGCTTCATACCAGCTTCACCGGACGTGTATTCGAGCTAGATAATTTTAATTTCACGACCTTACGTTTTATTCCTATTAGGGACAACACCATCGTTTGTTCATTCATAAAATTGTACACATCTATCTACATATATACTTAGTCTGGCCATAAATACTGTTACAATTAAAAATAAACAAAATATTACATTTGAATTTGGAATCTGTCATTGTTATATGATTGCTCATTGAGGTTTCTCATTATGGCGCCAATACATTGTACAATATTTTGCGATATTAAAATGGAGTGGGGTGATAAAACGAACCGAATCGCTGTGATTGCATTACACAAAGTAGGTATGGAGCCAAATGCAATTTTTAAAACTCTCCATAGGCTTGGTATTAGTAAAATGTTTGTGTACCGGGCTATTGATAGGTGCAATGAGACCTCCTCTGTTTGTGACAGAAAAAGATCTGGCCGTCCACGTAGTGTTCGTACGAAAACGGTGGTCAAAGCAGTAAGGGAAAGAATTCGAAGAAATCCTGTCCGAAAGCAAAAGATTTTATCTCGGGAGATGAAGATAGCACCTAGAACCATGTCGCGTATTTTAAAAGATGACTTAGGACTTGCAGCCTATAAGAGACGTACTGGTCATTTCTTAACTGGTAATTTAAAAGAGAATAGGGTGGTAAAATCGAAACAACTACTGAAGCGGTACGCAAAGGGAATTTTGTTTACGGATGAGAAAATTTTTACAATAGAGCAACATTTTAACAAACAAAATGACCGTATTTATGCTCAAAGCTCTAAGGAAGCTTCCCAATTAGTCGACAGAGTGCAACGTGGGCACTATCCGACTTCAGTGATGGTTTGGTGGGGTATTAGCTATGAAGGAGTGACTGAGCCATACTTTTGTGAAAAAGGTATCAAAACATCGGCACAAGTGTATCAAGATACCATTCTTGAGAAGGTAGTGAAGCCCCTTAACAACACCATGTT